TCACGAAGAAGCTCGCTCAGTTGAGCCTGGACTTCGGAAAAAGACCTGGCTCCATTCTGCGGATCGATGTCGGCCCAGCGAATCCCAGAAAACCGTTCATCAGTGTTTGTGATGTTGACCGGCTCGGGGTAGCATATGAAGCTGTCAAATATGGTTTTGCCGTCATAGTTGACGACAGAAACGCGTCCAAGGACCTGGCCGATGTTGGACTGCATCATTTCGCAGTCGATAGCAATTTTTTCGGTGAGAAGGTCCAGATGCGGCCCTATTTCTTTTGGGGTTTCACGCCCCGATATTATGTCAATCTCGTCCATTGATGAGTGTTGAAATTACAATTAGATGGATGCTTAGATAGAATACTTTAAGGCGTGATGAGAGTTTGTTGAAACTGTGTTAAGTAGTTCCAGTCTTTTATTCGGAGATGGGGTGGCACGCAACAGTGTTCAAGTTTAATGTCTGAGAGAAACGATACGTCCAGACTGTTGACGGTCCATTGAGGTTAGCGGAGCTGAATGCTAAGTGTTGACCTTTTAACACCCGAGAGTATATAACGGTGGCCACGTGCATAAACGTCTTAGATCAGATGGCCAAGGATCTGAACATTCAGGATAGAGTTATTAGCTTATCTCGATCCCCGCAAACCGGTGAAACGCGTTCGTCCAATCGTGGTCAAGATCCCAGAATCATGACACTTCTTGCTGCAAGCTACCTGTCGAGGCGTGCAACAGGCGGTCAAGATGCTGCAAGAGTACGGCCATGCACGGTGTGGTCGAAAGTTATATTAAACATGCCTAAATGTCATATAACTACGCTACTATAGCAGTTAACTGGCAAGCAGTTGCGCCAATGCGGCACAGCTCATCCCATCCGGTGGGCCGACGTGATTACTCTTCAAAGTGGTTACGGTCGTGATCCAGCCATATCGCACTCGGCCTCAGTTGCAGCGCGGGGCGGTTGCAGTACATATGTAGTCTTGCAGCCCAGTCTCAACAGCTTTTGCACCACAGTAGCTATTATGCATGTACTGTCACTAGTGATTGCGGCTTCACTCATACTTGTACACGCAACCCCACATTTCGTATGTAGCTTAGCGCCAAAAGTCAGCTGCAAAATAATCGATATGATTGGTCAATCCGCGATCTTCTGATAACTGGGCTTTTGGAACGCTGTCTAATTACTTGAGTGAAGCTTCAAACGCTAATGACAGTATTAGCCATTGCATACATATATACGGCCCGGGTTCGGCCGTTGCTGCAACGCAATCGCCGCTATTAGCCATTATATACATACCACTGGCCGATTTCATACATGTGTAGCAGGGGAGCATGGGAGGAGAAAATTACAGCCACTCTTCAAGATGGCTTATGCGAATGGATCATCCTCTTAGCATGCTTATGCACTGACAGATGAGCGCTGACGCGAAGCCTCATTCACTGCTCAAGCAGTGAGCTTATCTGTATTCGACTATTTGCGAATATGAGCTATCGCAATACCTACATTAGGTTAGCATCGCTATCTAAGAATAGAGGCTCCTGCATACTGTGTTAGCTCTGGCTTCGAGTCAATATGTGTCAGAAATCGAGGTTTCTCAGCAAGATGCAAGCGGCAAAACCCGGCGATCAACACTGTTGGACGCCATTGCTAAATGCAATGATGCTCTGTTAATTGCTTTTTCGACATTGGAGAGCCGGTCAATGCGTAGCATGTAGCTGCTTGCCGTGAAACCCCGCATCTTCTTGTCTTCTTCTCAAGCCTCCCACATAGCTAGTTCATTCAAGTCGAGAATTGATTTTTCTGTTCTTTACTCTGCAGCAAGTCCTCCAAAACTTGTTATCTACAAATGGCTCTAACCTTCGAAGAGTGAGTTGTATTTTTAATGCCGACCCGGTTGAGCTAAAGTTCGACAGCTTTATCCAATCACCTCAGTTCACCTTCTTCGTTGGCCAAGAGGGAAAGCCTGTCGTCGTGCATGCGGCTGCGGTTGCTGCTACTAGTCCGCAACTAGATCCACTTGTTAGTGGTGGAATGCAGGAATCTGAAACGCGATGTGCGAGGATCGAAGATGTCAGGGTTGACGATTTCATCCGGTTCTGCGACACACCCCAACTTTTAAGCAGAAATTTTTCATCGAAACTCGTCAATTTTCTATCGGATATAGGGGTAACACGTCGCGAGAAATCGATTTACGCCAACTCTA